TGGTTGGGATACCTGGAAATGGTTGGGATACCTGGAAATGGTTGGGATACCTGGAAGTGGTCGGGCCGCGGTGGCAGCGGACGTGGAGCGCAAGCCGGGCTTTTGTTTTGCAGATTCATGCATTGATCACAGGCCCATTTGACACGCCTTATGAAGGGGGTTTCTTCTTGTTCCTGTTTCGCTGTCCTCCAGATTATCCCATCCACCCACCCCGGGTCAAACTGATGACAACGGGAAATAACACAGTGAGGTTTAACCCCAACTTCTACCGCAATGGGAAGGTCTGCCTGAGTATTCTGGGGTAAGAGGAGACTTTGGCTCTTTTCCTGGCAGTCAGGAGGTGCTGCAGGCCCTGTGCTGCCTCGTGCTCCCTCTCTGCCCGTCGGGCCCCGGTCCTGCCCCCACACTTGTGCTTGGGTGCATCTTTGTGCTTCTGTGGAGTTGTGTGCAGAGTCAGAGCCATAAAGCAGCACAAATCCCTCTCCTGAAATAAGGGTTTCACTTGCCTTTAAAAGCACCTGAGAATGGAGAGAGCCAAGCACAAAATTCAGGGGATTTTGCTGCTTTTTCTCCTGCTTCCCCTTGCAAACCCTCTGACCAAGCACTGCACTTCCTCTGCTTTTGCACTTTCCAGCCTGGTCCTTAATGTTGTTTAAATGTAGGTTTTTGTGGTTTTAATTTCCTCTCTCCATATGGGCTTAAAAATAAATAAATAAAACAAATTGGAAAAAAAAAAAAAAAGCTGCTAAGAACTTCCTTGAGAGCCATTTGACTGCTCTGGGCTTCCACCTCCACTGAGGCTGTGGGGCTGAGCTGTGGGTGGGATGAGTTAAAAGCACAGCTCCTGTGCTGCCTGTTCCAACAGGCTCCACTGCTGCCAATCCTTGTTCCTCACCTGCTGGAGTTTTGAACACGGGAAAGTCCTGGTTGAATGAAGAGTTTCCCAGAGAAACTGTGGCTGCCCCATCCCTGGAAGTGTCCAAGGCCAAGGTTGGGTGGAACTTGGAGCAACCTGGGCTGGTGGAAGGTATCCCTACCCATGGCAGGGGGTGGAATGAGATGGAGCTTGAAGGTCTCTTCCCACCCAAACCATTCCAAGAGAAGGGGCAGCAACAGCTGGATGTGATCACCCCCCAGGAATCTGAGTCCTGGTGTGGCTGTAAAGCTGCCTTTCCTGGGATGGTTCCAGCAGTGCTGTGGCTGTGCCCCAGAGCTGGTCCCAGCAGCTGATGGGTCCTGGCAGGGAGATGGATCCTGCTGGGAAACACCTTCTTGAGCCACGAGCTGGATGCCAACACCTGCCAGTGGGCAGGACATGCAGGGCATGCCCCTGTCTGAGGGGCCTGAATGCCCAGCAGCTCCCCCAGCAGCTGCCCTGTGGAAAGGTGAATTATTGAAGGGTGAACAAAGAGCCTGGGCCTGAGCAGGGGTGGGAAGCGCAGAGGGAGCCGCGAATAAAAGGATTTAGGAAGAGGATATGTGGGTCAGCACATCCTCCCTGAGCTGACAAGGAGGCAGGGCTGGAGCTGGAGCTGGGATATTAAGGGCAAGCAGCAGAACAGCTTTTTCTGCTGCTGCTGTTCAGTGCAAAGGGTTTTGCTGCCCCGTGTGTGAGACGAGCCCCTCGTTCCCGTGAGCTCGTGCTTTTGGGGCAGTGCTGGTGCTGGGGGGCTGCAGGGCTGCAGGAGTGATGGGCCTGGTCGAGTCTGGAAGATCAGATTTCAGTTCTTAGGAGTTATTCCTGACCTCAGACAGTGCTGGTAGCTTGGGTTGCTCCAGGCTGCTGAGTGGGGTGACAACCAGAGCTTCAGAATTCCCCATTACTTCCCTGTGATTCCTGTGTCTGTTAGTGGAGTGAGGTTTGTCAGCCTTGTGGTGACAAGCTGAGAGAATAAGCTACTTTGACCCTGAAAACTTTCTCAATGTCCAGTGCTGTTCTACCTGTGGCAGCTCTTTCTCCCCCTGTGCCTTTCTCTGGGGTCCAGGTGTGGTTTGTGAGCGTTGCTGGTGCAGGGATGGTGCTCCCTGACCCAATCCTGCCTGGTTCATTAATTGCTGCTTTTCTGTTTTGCTGCCCCAGCACCTGGACCGGGCCTGCCTGGAGCCCAGCTCAGAGTATCTCCTCAGTCCTCATCTCCATCCAGTCCCTGATGACTGAGAACCCTTATCACAACGAGCCCGGCTTCGAGCAGGTGAGACTTGGAGCTGGAGCTTCCCTGCACCCCTCGCTCCTGGTGGCAAATCCCATGCTGGAACTGGGATCAGAAGGAGCTGAGGTGGCTTGGCTCTTTCCCAGCTCGAGCTGGAGGGGGAGTACAAGCCAGCTCTGAAGCAGAGGCTGCTGAGCTCACCTGAGTGTGAGGGAAGGGGAGAACACGAGTTGCTGGGGACATGGGATGGCTCTTCCTTTCCCTGCTACACCACTCCTGGAATGGCTTCCCTGGGCCATATTGTCCTGCAGGAACCAAACTGCTCAGGTTTTCCTGGTCTCCTGGAGGGGGGCAGCTTTCTGTGCCAACTTTTTCACTGCATTTGTCTCCACCCCGTGCGAGTCCAGGGCTCTGGGGGCACATCAAACCCTGCCAGCTCTTCCTGTGCTGTGTGAATCAGCTCAACAGCACAGAGCTGTTGGGGGTTCATGCACCAGTGCAGCTTGGCAGGCCCAGGAGGGAGGGATGAAGAGCCCCTGCAGAGGTTTGGACTCACTGGCCCTAACTGTGTTGGCAGGAGAGGCACCCTGGGGACAGCAAGAACTACAACGAGTGCATCCGGCACGAGACCATCCGGGTGGCAGTGTGTGACATGCTGGAAGGGAAGTGTCCCTGTCCCGAGCCTTTAAGGTATGGAAAAGAGCAGGAGGGGGTGGGGGAAGCAGGATAAACTGTTCCTGAGCTCCTGGGAGCTGCTCTGCCTGGCCCAGCCGAGGCTTTGCCCCCCTGCAGTGGGTGGCTGGTCCGGGTGGTGCCCAGGAGCTGTGCCAGGACAAAGGCCTGTTACTGAGCACAATGGCTGCATCCTCTGGCTTGGGTTTGGGAATAAATGGGCCTTGTCCTCTGGGGAAAAAAAATCCTGGAGGGAGGAGGGCACAGCTGTTGTGGAAACACGTGCAGCATCCCTCAGCTGCAGGGCTCTGCAGTTCCTTGGCTCTGTCCTGCCTGTCTGTGCCCTCTGAGGGACACACACAGGGTGTCCCAGACAACTCCAGGAACTGGAACTAGTGGGATGGGGTGACCCTGGGTGATGTGACTGTTGGTGTGTTGATTGTTTGCCCTCTGCTTGCATTCAGGGGTGTCATGGAGAAGTCCTTCATGGAATACTACGACTTCTACGAAGGGGTGTGTAAAGAGAGGCTGTATCTCCAGGGACAGACCATGCAGGTGAGTGCCAGCCAGTTCCCCTGGTGACAAGGGGCTGTGGTTGGTGACAGACCAGTGTGCAGCACCAGAGGTGGATCTGGGAGATCTGTACTCCAGCTTTGAACCAGCCACGGAACTGAGACCTGAGGGGTTGCTGTGGGTGCAGCACTGCCATCCCCAAATGCAGAGGGCACACACAGAATATCTCCCAGGCTGTCAGATTCCTGAGGGCTGGGCCTGAGATGCTCTCCAGGCAAGCAGGTGCTGCTTTCAGCCCTGGCAGTGGCACAGTTTGCTCTCCCCTGGTGCAGTTTGCTTTCACATCCAGGTGATCCAGTGCTGGTGGCAGCTGAACTCCAGTGCAGCCTTTTCCTGCTGGGTCACTGGTGGAGTTTCTCTTTTTCTGAGGCTCCTTTGCTCAGGCAGCAGATGAGACCTTCTCTCTGCCACTCCTTGCTCTGTCAGAGGAGGTGCAGAGCGGCTGAGGGAGGAACAGGGAGGATACAACAGACACATCCAGACAGGTGGAATCCAGGAGCTCCTTTCTGCAGGGAAGGAGACTTTACAGACCACATTGCCAAGCTGTTTGCATGTGAACAGATGTGTCTTCCTCCCTCATCCACCACCTCTCCTCTGACTCATTGAGAAATCCCACTGCTAGGGAAAGATGGAGGTGGTTGATTTAATGATCTCGTGTCTCCGAGCCCTTTTTTTTCCCTCTCAGTGCTGTGTAATTCATAAATTGGAAGCACTCCCAAAGCAGGAGAGTTATGTTTGGAGTGAGAAATTCCCCTGAGGAGTGCCTGTGCTCGACTCAGAGCTGCAGGGAGTAGTGAACTGAGGGTGTGGTGCAGTTTGGTGGCATGAGGGTTGTCTGGTGTGGCCCCCTCTGGTTTCTCCTTGCAGGAGCTCAGTGCTGTCCCCAGGCTCTGAGAGGATCCCTGAGTTGTGCTCAGTTCCCAGAGGGGATGGTGCCATGCCTGGTTTTCTGCTCACTTGTAAACAGTAGCACAGGAAGCCTGAAAACAAGGTGCTGGAGAGATGATATCATTGTTTTCATGAGTATTTGAAATGAAGTCACCCCAGGCTCAGTATCAGTTGAGTCCTTGCCAGATGTGCTGTTTTGTTAATTCTGGGGCCACATGTTGGCTTGTACCAAAGATTCCCATCAGATAGGACAGCACAAACCCCACCAGCACCTCATCTAACCCTGGCAACGTGTCTTTGACCTGGGATGGGCATAAAAGCAACAAATGTTAAATAACCCTCAAAGACTTTGTGCCCCTGACTTGGCTACAGCTCAGCTGGGGCCTTGATTTCGGGTGGGAATGGTGATGCCTTTCATTTGGATGGGCTCTGTAGCACTAATTTGACTTGTGGTGAGGTCTTTGGCCTCTGGATTTTAGAGACTCAGATTTGTGATGTTTTCCCTGGACCAAATCTTTGAGGCAATCTCCTTCCCCGAGGCTGGCAGTCGAAATCCAGCCCGTGTCTGCTCGGCCTTTCACCTGGTTTGAAGTTTTACTTGGGTTTGTAACGCTCCCCAAACAGAAAATGTAAAAAAAATACATTAAAAAATCAAAAAATATTAAAACATCATCACCTCTGCCATGACAGGGAGGTGATGGGATGGGATTTGACCCTGAATTCTTGGAATGTTTATGCACAGTTATTACACAGCTGGAATAGCCCTTGGCAGAGGGCTGATAGGCTGTGTTTACTGGCTCATCCCTGCTTTTCTTTCAGGGTCCTTTCCGTGAAAAGGACAGTTTTTATGCACAGTTATTGCACAGTTGGAATATCCCTTGGCAGAGGGCTGATGGGCTGTGTTAATGGGCTCATCCCTGCTTTTCTTTCAGGATCCTTTTGGTGAAAAGGACAGTTTTTATGCACAGTTATTACACAGCTGGAATATCCCTTGCCAGAGGGACGATGGGCTGTGTTTACTGGCTCATCCCTGCTTTTCTTTCAGGATCCCTTCGGTGAGAAGCGAGGCCACTTTGACTACCAGTCGCTGCTGGTGCGTTTGCAGGGGATCCGGCAGAGGGTGCAGGAGAGGCACCAGCAGGAGCCCCCGGAGATGGACTCAGAGAGCAGCTCCTCCGAGACAGAGACGGACCCGCAGGGCTGCTCCAAAGCTTAGGGGGGGCTGCTCTGCCCACAGCCCCGACAGACTCCACCACCCACCCACTGCCAGAGCAGGGACACGGGGGGGACCCCCTGCCCCCCTCACTGCTCTGGGAAACGCTGAGTGAGGAGACTCCACGCTGGAGCAAGCCCAGCTCTGCCAGGCTCCTCCTGAAGGTACTCCCTGCGCTAGCAAAGCCGCAGCATGTGGCGTCAGGTTATTTTGTTTTGGAAACACCTACACTGGTTGTTTGAGGTTTTTTTCTTTTTGTTTTGTTTTGGTTTTTTTTTTTTCCCCCCCTCCATTTGATTAAAGAATGAGATCTAGACTGCAAACCCTTGGCAGCTTCTCTGTTCCTAGACAGTGAGCCCTTGCCCCAGGGCTGAACGTGGAGCTGTGGCTGTGGAGGAGCTTCCACGAGTCCAGGGTGTGGCCAGGTGAAACCTGGGGCAGGTGGAGCCTCTCTGCTCCGTGGAGCCCAGCTACCTTGATGTCTTTCTCCTAGGCAGACCAAAGATAAAGAGCAGTGGTGGAGTTTGGGCTCCTTTCTGAAAGCTTTACTCGAGCCCTGGGTGGCTTTTGAAACTCCGGGTGCAAAGGGGCAGGTGGGAAGTGGAAGCTGCAGGGATCTGTGAGTGGAGTGCAGGATTGGCCATCCTGGCATTTTTGGGGAAGGGAGGATGAGAAACTCGTTGGTCAGAGATGGGGGGGAAGCACTTACAAACCAGTCTAGTTTGTGTATTATTTTTTTAAGGTGTTGATTTGAATTTAGCATTCTGGAAGTATTTCATTCGTGTTTCCTCACCTGAAGTTCTCTGCTTTCCACCTCTCCAGTGGGTGCCACATTTTATTTTCCTCCCATCTTCCTCCTGCCACCTCCCTCCCTGCTGCTCCCTTGGTCCATCAGGTGGAAATGCTGGAAGTGGAATAAGGGGCGACTCCTGGCCGGAGTTTTGTGGAGGTGGACGCCTCGTTACGGACAAATTCCTTTGCCAAACTTGGCTGAGTGTTGGAAAACTTTGACACTCGAGTGTATGTGAGTGTTTCAGAGAGCAGGTTTTTCCTGTGAG